ATATGACTGTTGAGTGACCAATCACAACATGGAATCCATCATAAATTCCATATGACTGTTGATTGACCAATCACATCATGGAATCGATCATAAATTCCATATAACTGTTGATTGACCATTCACATCATGGAATCCATCATAAATATCATGACTGTTGATTGACCAATCACAACATGGAATCCATCATGAATTCCTTATGACTGATAATTGACCAATCACAACATGGAATCCATCATAAATTCCATATGACTGTTGATTGACCAATCACATCATGGAATCGATCATAAATTCCATATAACTGTTGATTGACCATTCACATCATGGAATCCATCATAAATATCATATGACTGTTGATTGACCAATCACATCATGGAATCCATCATGAATTCCATATGACTGTTGAGTGACCAATCACAACATGGAATCCATCATAAATTCCATATGACTGTTGATTGACCAATCACATCATGGAATCGATCATAAATTCCATATAACTGTTGATTGACCATTCACATCATGGAATCCATCATAAATATCATATGACTGTTGATTGACCAATCACAACATGGAATCCATCATGAATTCCTTATGACTGATAATTGACCAATCACAACATGGAATCCATCATAAATTCCATATGACTGTTGATTGACCAATCACATCATGGAATCGATCATAAATTCCATATAACTGTTGATTGACCATTCACATCATGGAATCCATCATAAATATCATATGACTGTTGATTGACCAATCACATCATGGAATCCATCATGAATTCCATATGACTGTTGATTGACCAATCACGTCATGGAATCCATCATGAATTCCAAACAAATGATAATTGACCAATCACAACATGGAATCTATCATGAATTCCATACAACTGTTGATTGACCAATCACAACATGGAATCCATCATGAATTCCTTATGACTGATAATTGACCAATCACAACATGGAATCCATCATAAATTCCATATGACTGTTGATTGACCAATCACATCATGGAATCGATCATAAATTCCATATAACTGTTGATTGACCATTCACATCATGGAATCCATCATAAATATCATATGACTGTTGATTGACCAATCACTTCATGGAATCCATCATGAATTCCATATGACTGTTGATTGACCAATCACAACATGGAATCCATCATGAATTCCATACAACTGTTGATTGACCAATCACAACATGGAATCCATCATGAATTCCTTATGACTGATAATTGACCAATCACAACATGGAATCCATCATAAATTCCATATGACTGTTGATTGACCAATCACAACATGGAATCCATCATGAATTCCATATGTCTTAATTGAATAATGGAATCTAGATGTGGTTCATAGTTATTTCTGCTTACCAATGCATGTCAAGTAGGAATAGATGATTTCCTCCTATCAGATTCAAACCAACACCACCGGCTCGCAGGGAAACCAACATTACTTCTGGACCTTTGGGATTCTTATTGAAGTTTTCTACAGATTCAGATCTAGCTTTTGGAGTTACATTTCCCTGAATTACACAGTATTTGAAACCATTTTCTTTGAGATGATGTACCATGATGTCCAGCATCTTGGTCCACTGTGACACAATCACAGTCTTCATTGGCTTACCAGCAGGTGACTTGGCACGGATATCTTTAAGTCCATCCATAACTTTCTTAACCTGAAATGTTCCAAAATTGATTAAAACTATGCACATGG